CTCTCTCTCTCTCTCTCTCTCTCTCTCTCTCTCTCTCTCTCTCTCTCTCTCTGGGTGCAAGGGGGGTAGGTAGGGATGATCTGGCCTACCCTCTGGTGCTGCTGGCGCGCGCGCTGGTGCTTTCGGCTTCCCCGGGACGGACTCTCGCGCTCTCGCCCGCCGCGCCGCTCCGCCGCTCTCTTCGTCGCCGCGCGATTGCGAGCGCGGCGCGGCGTCGCACGTCCCGTTAAGAGTAGGAGTGAGCTGGCCAGAGCCTGCTGCTGGCTTGCTCACAGCAGTCAGTTCGATACCGAGCGCCGAAGCGTTCGGTTCGCTCCGATTCCGGCGTGCGCCGTTATCGTCATCGGTTCCTATATATCCCGTCACCACGTTCGCGCGACTGAACCGGGCCGACCCCTCCTCCCCCCCGCGTCCGGGGTACCGGGCCGGTGCGCGCTGACCGGGGGATGACCGGGGGCACGGAGCGCGCCGCGGGCTTACCTGCGACACGCGGAAACGTATACCGCGAGACATGTGCGCTCCCGCGGAGTTGAAAGAGCCGCTATAAAAAGTATATCTGGACCGAAGAGGGTCGCGCGCGAAATAAGGGTAACATTTTTCGATCGCGATCGAAGGGTTTCGCATTCTTCCTTTCGCGACGGAGAGAAAGTCGCTCCTTTATGAACGGGACGCGCTTCACCACACGTTCGACCGGTGCGGGACAATGCTTTGGACCATGTGCACCTTCGAGGGGCTTCGCTCTGCGAATGAGCTTTTGAATTCCCGGGAGGCCGTTGTGGCGAACGGCGGTGAGACCGCGAAGGGGACACCGCCACTGCTCCTCTTCTCTTCAATGGGTCCTCGTGCGAGGATAGGAGAGCCTCGGGAGAAGAAAACGCAGCTTAAGTGCCCTCGTTAACGCGATCGCCTGTGAGTATACTCAGCTCTACATTCGGTTTATCGCGTGTATATATATACCCATTACCTACCTGTTAAAGCCTTCCTTTTCACACCGTTCGTCGGCGATTACTTGGAACGGGTGTAACAGGCGGTATTTTTACGTGGGCTTATATAGAGGTTAGAGGAAGACGGGCTCTAAGCCCGAATTCCCTCGAGATAACGGAAAATAAGTTACTCGCTCGCTCTACGCGCGAATTTCTCTTTGAAAGGAAAAGTACTCCCCGCGCAATAAGCGACTGCGACATTAATACGCGAATTCTCGTTGCTGTTCCGCGAATTAATCTAAAGGGGGTTTTAATGACTCCGTTAGAAAACGTCGTCCTCTTGGCGAACGCGATTCTGAGAAAAGCCGTTTAACTTCTCTCTATTCTTGATAGGACGCGCTCGTCTTGATAGGACGATTTCATTAGATTCGCTCGTCGTGAGAAACGCTTTCGCGATTATTCGCGGAAAATTAACAATTTCGCGAGGAAGCGATGCGCGTACGGAGGAATGCAGCGGGTAACATGCCGCACACGCCGTAGAGTCGGTAGGGTATGCGCGGCTGAGTTTGCTTCGCCGTGTGCAGCAGCGGTAATTGGCGGGACGCCGAGGGTTCATATAGCGAGCGGGCATAACCCACGCACTTCGCATATCGACCCTCTTCTCACATTTCTCGCCCTATTAATTAAGCCGCTAAGCGATGTGATTTCGGGTAGCGAAACAACTTGGCTACGGAATGAGAGCGCCGCCGCCGCGCCGCCCGTCGAGGATGCTCTCGGCGAACGGGCGAGAAGTGGGATTCACTGGCCGCACGTTGGGAAAGCGCAGCATTGAATAAAAAATGCATGTGCATCCAATGTTAAGGGATAATTAAATAGCGAGATCGATATACCAATCGCTTTTAGTAAATTTATCGAGAACGAGAGAACAGATCGAGGAACAGATATGTAAATGGCATTCTCCATCAGTTTTCCAATCATCTTACTCTAAAATGTTTTAATCTGTCAAATTGTATATCAGTTCACGGTATACAATGAAAAATATTTTTGCGTATTAAATATTTTAATATTTGGACGTATAAAACTTTTTTTAAGTTTTAATGTTTATTACAACTGTTCTCCAATGCTGTAAATTAGAAAGTATGGAAATGTAATCTTCAAACTTTGTCGCGGCGAAAAAGTGGTACCGCTTCTTTGAATTCTTTCGAAAACAAGAGGACAACTTTTCTCATTTTTTTGAAAAATAAAAACTGAATTGTTTTTCTTGCGTAAATCGATATTCTTTATTTTTGTACGGAAAATGTAATACTGAAAAATGCCAAGTGTCCTGATTGCATTCTGATTTGCAATATCTCGTAAAGTATTCACTTTTTGTCAACTGATGCAAATAAATTATACGAGTCCAATTCTAAATTTTCGTTATATGAAAATTGCTAATAACTGTTTTCATTGTGATCAAGTTGAACTATAATATACTTTGTAATGAACACTTGAAGCGTTATCCAGAGCTTTCAAAAAAGAGCCAGATTTGCGAGATAAAATTTTAATTAAAAAAATTTCTAACTAAAAACTAAAAAATTTCCACAACTTTGTGTTATTTGCGCAAAAGCTTTATCAAAAGATAAAAAAAACTTCAGATCTCTTTAACGATGAAGCAAGAGTCTATCGAAATCTTAATGTAATATTTTGAAAGAGGGCTGGAACTAATTTTAAAACAAAGAGCTCTTGGACGGACAACTTTGTAAGAGTTTTTTATTGGGCTTGATTAAATTTGTGTGTGCTATCTCAAAGTAACAAAATTTAATTTTCTTTATTTAAAGACGCAGATTACTAATTCGCAGAGAAAATTCACACAGTCGCAATTACTTCCGCTTTAACTCCGTTTTCTTTCCTTGTTCCTTCGACTCAGATGTGCATATATATATAATGTAATTTAATTTCGTCGTAAATTACAGCAGAATTGCGAAGCGTCGTTCAAAGGAATTTCTCTTGCATTATAATGTATACGTCACGCATACAGTGCGAAACTCGCAGGTTTTCCACAGATACCTGATAATCGCGCGACTCGTTTTGCGCCGCGCTACAGTGACTCGCGCGCCCGTTCTTGTTTCAAACAGGACACACTAAATTGGGATGCACGGACAGGGAAGTGACAGCGTTTTGCCGGGGCTGCGAGAGTCCTGCACATTCGCGAGGGGACCGTCCTTAAAAACGTGCCACAGTGAAAGAAAAAAAAAAGAGAAATTCTCGCTCGCGTACAGCGGCGAGTGAAAAGGCTGTACTACGCGTTTTATAAAACGGATAGCATCGAATTACATTCGTATCTCGCTGGAACAAGCGTCGGACGTGCGAGAACGAGAGAGGGAAGAGGATAGAAAGAGAGGATATTTATTACGTTCTGGCACAATGTTCCCCCCAAGACTCTGTAAACAGTATCATAAGAAAGACAGGGTACATATTTACAGATCGTGCGCGGCGTTCGCGTAGATTGCGGCTAACAATGAGCACTCCTTTTTATCTCATCGCTCTTTGAAACGGCGGTGAAAGTACGGCGCTGAATAAAGTACGACGCTTCCGGAAGAGCCTCTTTTCCGCGTTATAAATCCTTCCCCACTTTTCAAAGTTTTTCGCTAGATAAAGTCGAGTCAAAATTGCTCTGCACCGGGCTCGGCTCCGCCGAGATTTTCCGCGGAGGCGCGAAAGAGCTTCATAACTCGAAAACTCGAGGTCCGCCCGGGCGCATAAATCTCTCTCGAACTTCTGTCATTACGTTAATGAGGGTGGTACCAGTCTGACGGATATTTACCTTCAATTTCGAAACGGCATCATGCGTAACACGGAATGATATCTATACCGACGGTCGAGCGGGAAAGAAAGCGAAACGAACGAAGTTAAGCGCGCCCCGTGATGCGGAGTATTGAGAAAAAGCGCTCGCGCGGACGGACCCCAAATAAAAGTGAAAAGAACCTTTCTTCTCGTTTCGGTAATATTGAATATAACGTCCCACAAGGTCGCCTTTCGAAGTTCCAATCGTATTCTTTATTAGGATACGTCCGGAAGCCCGCGTTGATCCACCATTATCGTCCCTGCGCGGAATACGAAATGAAAGTGGCTCGCTGGTGGCTCGATGTGCCCGCGCTTATTTGTAACTCCATTATCGGAGAGCGACGATTGAGATTTTCAGAGAGACCGGGAGTCGCTTGGCGACGACGAGGAAGAGATGTCGAGATTGCAAATTGTCGACTTCTAGAAGCGCAATTCGGCGATTCGAGTTAATAACTTTACTCTCAGGCTCGCGACTTTTGTTTAACTATCGGCTATTGTTTAAAACGTCTCGCTAAATGACTTTTCATGCAAGAACAATTCAATGTGTTTTACTCGTTTCCCGCAACTTGCCGTTTTCAACATTAAAAGAGGAAGTTTAACCCTTAAATGCCACCTCTCAAGAATCTCGTAAGTTCACTGAGGGGTCTAAAAGACCCCAGCATGAAAAATGTCCCCTTACTCATTGATTTTTTTATCTTTAGTTATGACAATTTTTTTCAATGTTGTTCAAGGTCTAGAGAAGAGTATAAAATGCTAATATTGTTCAAATTTCAATTTCGACATAGTATAAAAAATTAAATAAACTGAGTACTGCTAAGTGCACACACGGGTAGGTCAATCACTCAAAACTGTCATCAATGGGAGCATGAGCTCCATTTTTGGCAAGAACATTTAAAAACATTTCATTCTAAAGGGTCTGGGGTCCGCTGGACCCCACTTGTCATTTAAGGGTTAATAAAATTATGTTTTGAAGTTGCCGTGCCCGGATGTGATTTCGAGCTAGTATTCTGAAGTCCGCGAAAAAGGTCATGTGCATGTGAAGTATTTCATAGGGTACGCGCTGCGTAAATTTATGGATTAAATCAAACTCTCCGGTGGAAATACACCAATACTCACGGTGCAATTCTCGCGATCGTCCGTAATCCTCGATTATGACGACAAATTGAAAACAGACAATTCCTGACGAAAAGGGATTTAAATCATTAAAGCCGCGTACGCGCGCACGCGATCCGTCAAAGCTGAATTATTCCCATTGTAAAATGTTGCAAAATTAGCGGAGGAGGTAAGCAACGTGGATCTATTTAGTATGCGAAACGCGCCAATTTTGTTTAGACCGTTGATTGAAAAACAATATTTCGCCGCGAGCGTTTTCTATTAGCGTTTCCGTAATGAAATAACACGGTCGTGTTTTCACACGCGTATAAGTTAATCGTTTAAATCTGAACGATCGCCACGATGTTTCACGTGGAGTTAATTTCCGCGTTTAAAGCAGCCCCGGAATATCGATTAATAAAGTGCTTTAAATAAAGAGCGTATGCCTCGGTCCCCCCGGTCGTCGCAGATACGATGCAGACGATGATAAAGCGGCCGGCGAACGGTGACGGTGACGGATCGTATTTTCGTTGCGACTATCGGAAAATACAGCGGGGCGTTTTATATAATGAGCCGGCAATTATCTACGACGGAGAAATATTGAATGCGCCCGGTGTTGTGCAGGTATTTTTAGTGTCAGCGCGCGCGGCACGTCCCTCTCGGCCGGCCTGCTGGAAAATATTTACAGCGCGGCGCGGCCGCAGCTCAGCGTGATTGGCAAGGAGGAAAACCGCTTGCGCCCGCGCCGCGCCGTCCCGTCCCTCCTCGATTAGAGATACAGTAGCGCGGGAGTGGCACGAATAAGTAAGAGAGACCCGTATTCTTTTTTTATGTCTATCTTCTCCTTTGCGGATTTAGGGGTTGGTTTACGGCCCCCTCGGAGCGAAGTCGATAAACATGTCAACGGAATAAAATGTGAAGGGCTCCCGCAGGGGAAGGGACTCGTCGGCACTCGTCGGCATCCAACTTTTTCGTACCTACGGGGAATTTGAAAGTTCTGTTTTTCATGGGCGCGCGTGTTGCCGCGCGCGCGCGCGTTTTATTTCATCGATATTGAAATTGAAAATCTAT